ATATTGTCATGCCTTCCCCCCATCAATTACATTCTTTGGCGGCCATGTCAGCACCATCTCCCCTGGTGGAGGCCGGGGCCAGAGTCCACCCCACCCGCAGCGGGTCACCTCAACTGCCAGCAGCTGAGGGCCTGGAAGGCACCTTCATGTTCAGGCTCTTCGATCTTCGTGGTGCTCCCAAAGTTCAGGGCTGGTTTGGAGAGAAGCTCTAAACCTGCACCACAGAACTGGGGATCGTTCCTAGAAAGGAAGGGGAGGTTTTCCTAGCGCACCCCTCCTCGCACACCCCTCGGCCCTCACAAGGCATGCTTGCCTTGCCCTCTGCTCCGTCTGGGGTCACCCGTCAGGAAGCTGGGAGGGGCATGCTGCCCTTATGATGTGATCAGCCTCCCTGCCTCGGTGGCAGGAACGAAGTCACTCTGCGAGGATTAACAAACGAGAACAGTCAGGGGAAAGCTGGAAACAAATCAACAGAGTCGACGCTGTGGTTCTGGGTGTTTAAGACAGTGTGGCGCGATTGGCCAACAGCCATCTTCAGACAGTGCCCTCCAAGGGGAGACATCACCTGTGCACGGCGCTGAGCCAGGCTTGTAAAAAAAAATTTTTTTTTTAAAAGGTAAATCAAGATCCTTGCTCTCGGCGAGGAGGGTGTAGCTCAAGTAGTAGAGCACATGCTTAGCATGCATGAGGTCCTGGGTTCAACCCCCAGTGCCTCTTCCAAAAGTAAATAAATAAACCTAATTACCTACCCCCTCAAATTAATTAATATATAAAGATCCTTGCTCTCTGGGAGTTTTTGTGCTAGTTCAAAAGCTGGAATAAACACCTGGAAGTTAAACACCAATATAAGAATTAAATCAACATAAAACCGATCATTCAACAGCCACCCAAAGGTAGCAAAAGAGCAAACTGCCCAGTGGTGGCCTGGACAACAGATGCCATTAATTCAGGAGAAAGGGGAGTCTCTGGCAGCCTGAGATAATTTCTGGAGGCAATACCAGGACAGGGACCAGAGTGGTGACCAGGAATAGAGACTGGTAGTTCTCAAACTTGCGTGTGCATCGAATCACCTGGAAGGCTGGGTAGACTGAAGATTACCAAGCCCCACCCCAGAGTTTCTAATTCGGGAAGTGTGGGATGGAGCCCAAAATTCTGCGTGACTAACAGTTCCCAGGTGATGCTGATGCTGCTCTGAGAACCTCTGGTTTAGCCCGAACATTCCACATCAGATGTAGGAAATGGGGGCACGCTAATGTCACCCCGCATTTTACGATTCCAGGCCCTTGCTGAAGCTGGCGCCAGAGCCCTGCTCACTCCCCTTGGGGAGGGAGGACATCACAGGAGCATCAGGAGGGAAAGAGGAAAACAGACAGAGAAGAGGTACCATGGTGCCCACAGCGTGACATGACGCAGCCTCCGCCCCCAGAGTCCAGGACAGCCTCTGGCTCCATCCCTGGGCCACGCAGCGCCTCTACCTGCACAGTCCTCAGCCGGCTCCTGGCTGTAACAGCTGGCCCCAGTCCCACCCGGCTCCTCCCTCTTCCCCTTCCCTCCCTCCACCAAGCTGGGAAGGCTCTGCCTCCCCTAATCCTGCTGGACAGGTGGACTTCTGGAGGAGGGACAGAGAGCCCTCCCTCCCCTCCTAAAGAGAAACACTGAGAGTTATTCCTCAAGTCGAGGGCGCAGGGCTGATCCACCAAGGAGAGGTGGCTGCTCGGGTTTCAAAGGACTCTCTATTCCCAGCCTGGTTCACCAGGATGTGAGTCAGGGACATGGGGCCTAAATGAGGCTGCAGCATCCCTTGAAATGCGCCTCTCATGACCCCAAGGGCAGCCAAGCAGGGTCAGATCCAGGTGAAGCCAGAACCCCAGCAGCACATGTGGGATCCATGCACATGTACAAAAGCAGCTATTTTTTTTAAATACCTTTTTTTTTAACTTCACTTTGGGCTTTAGAGGGGCCGGCCAGAGCCAGGGGCAGGCAGGACCAATGCCTGCTTTGTCTTTGAATCCTGAAAATGAGAAACAGAGTGCCCAGCCCATGCTGAGTGCTTAAGAGACATGTCCCAAATAAAGACGAGCAATAAAAGAAAAGATGACTCAAGTCCCAAGCAGGCCTGTGCCCAGGGGGAAGCACAGAGCTGAAGTCTGTGGCGTCTGAACATCACAGCCAGCCACCGGCACACGGTTGGTTCCGTTTCCCACTTCTGGTCAAAAAAATTAAGAAATGAAAGGGATGGCCAAGGTGAAGGAAGGCTGCGGAAGATTGCCCCTGGGAGAGCTAACAGCCCAGCCCAGACTCCCGATCTATGAAATCAGGGCCCACCTACAACGCCTGTGAGGATGCTCCATGTGAAGCAGGGACAAGTTCAGTCAAGAAGGAGATGTCGCAGCTCCTGAGGCATTTACAGGAATGGCAGCACTTCACCCCACTGTGCATAAGAACCCAAAAATATGAGATGACAATATTGGGAAAGAATGTTGAGAAAGAAAAAAAAAAGCAAAAAGATGAATTTTAAGATGCCAATCTATATCTACACAACTATTAGAAAGGCTGTTTTCAACGCTTGTAAGTAATCAGCACACACTCATGGTTGTATCCCAGTTTAGCCGAGGTATCCACAAGTTCACTGGTTTCCCATTGCTCTTTCCAAGCTCTGCCCACTGAAATGGGACTTTCACACATCCTACCGGCCCGACACATTCAGCAGATATCCAACAACCGCCAGCGAGCCCCTCCCACGTGCCAGACGCCACCTTAGGAGCTGGCGTACAAGGACCAAGAGAGCGCAGCCCAGCCTCAGAGCATCTCGCACCTTTGGGGGAGGCAGTCATCAGGTCTCCAGCAAAGGCTTCCACGGGGATGCTGAGAGGACAGCAGAGGGTCAACCCTGTGCTTGGGAGGGCTTCACAGAGGAAATAATATGTAAGCTGAGTCAGCCGCCAGCCAGAGGGACAACCCGGGGAGGCTTCCCAGCGGAGGGGACAGCATGTGCCTACACAGGGCTCGCCTGCCTCCTTCACAAGAAGGACGTTCTTGTTCACAAGCAAATCTGCCCACATTGTAGGAACCAGTTCCCTTTCCAAGAGTTCACATACTTTTCTCTAGGCCTTTATTTTAAAACAAGCCTAGGAAGGAAAAGTGAAGTGTCAAGATCTCCATCTATTTTAATTGAAGTATAGTCGATTTACAATGTTGTACAAGTTTCTGGTGTATGGCAAAGTGATTCAGTTCCATATATATGTGTGTGTATATATATATATATATATATATATATATATATGTATATACATATCTGAAAAAGTATATATATACACACAATCTTTCAGATTCTTTTCCATTATAGGTTATTACTAGATACTGAATACAGTTCCCTGTGATCTACAGTAGGACCTTGTTGCTACAGCAGTGTGTATATTTGTTAATCTCAAACTCCTAATTTATCCCGCCCCATCTTTCTCCTTTGGCAATCACAGGTGTGTTTTCTATGTTAGTTAAACTGTTTCCGTTTTGTAAATCACTTCATTTGTCCCAAGATCTCCATCTTCAAGCACATTCTATCTCAATTACGGGAAATGCGGTCAATTTCAAAGATAAGATCGTTTGCTTTTATTGGCATTTATGACTAGGGAGCTGCAGGAAGTCAGACTGTAAATCTGGCAGGTGGCAGCGCTCAGAGGCAGAACTAGATTAGAGGATGAGAGATCAGGGAGGCCAGGCCAGCCCTGCACAGTCCCGCTGAGACCCCAGGCAGTGCACTGGGGTCTTTCCAACAGGAAACTGTCCCCACCCGCTTCTGCTCTCTGATCTGCCTTCACTCTTGCCATGGCCTCTGGGGACAGGGAACTGCCAGCCTCGTGGGGTTGTTCTGAAGATCCAACCCACTGATGGGGAACATGCAGAGATCTGCAAAGTACAAAGCAAGGAACTGTGCAGCAGCATTCCTGCGATCAGCCTCCCCTGTGCCTAGCAAGTCGGCCCCCTCCTCAAAGAATCCGACCCTCTTTCTCTTTCTCAGGCTGGCAGGCACCTCCAAACCCCCTACTCCTCCAGCATTCACCAACAACAGCCAAGGACGGAGAGCTGGAACATCTTTCCAGGAATTCATGCTGCCTCCAGGCCAGATCCTCATCTCCTGCGGGCAGGGGTTGCCTCCACCACTCAGCTCTGCCCTGGACCTTCCCAGCTGTTTCTTCTGTGAAATGACTGACCCAGCTAAAGAGAACTTTCTCCAAAAAAGAAAGATCCCCATCTTCCCTAACACCCCAAAACCGTGACTCAAGAAATGAACTTTTGCATGAGACCTGCAAGTAGACACTCGACCCAACCATTGTTCAAGGTTTCACTTTGTGCTCCCCCTAAAAAAAGGTTTTCAGCCAAAAAGAGTGAGTTATTAGGGTCCTGGGGTAAAGAGAGCAGGAAGTGGTAGCGACACCTACTTCTGGAAAGTACAGTATTAAGAATGACAGCTGAAAGGGCAAACAGGAAGTATGTCAGTGCCATCCACTGGCAAGAGTGATCAATTACAAAGACACAATTCTTTGTCAACAGCGATTCGGATAAGAACACTAACGCATCATCTAAAGAGCACCTTTGGGTTTGCAAAGGACTTTTACATCCAGCTACCTGCCTCTTGGGACACCGGGAGTCCAGAGATGAAGTATTGCATGTAGAAGGCAGAGGGCAATCCCAGACCGGTTGGCTGCATTCGTATTAGCTCTCGGACCCCAAACCTAAATGTGACTGGGTCCCAAGGACAGACTCCAACACCAAGGGGACTAGAGTTGTCTCAAATTCCCACCCCACCCGACTCTGACATCCAGTCCATCCCTGGGGAGGCAAGCAGGAGAACCCGTGGTTAGACGTTCATTCCCGTCAGTCCTCGGAGGCAGCAGGCAACGCCCCCAAGTCTGTAGCCTGTGCATAGATGTCTGGCCAGGGGAACAGCATTTAGAAAGGTCGCTTCTCTAAGGAACCCTACATCTTTAATGGGAACTCACCTATGCAGATGAGGAGGGAAGTGAGGTGAGCCTCACAGTGGAGGCTCCAGCTCTGAGCTCATGTGCTTTCTTCACGCAGGGAATGGCAATGTGTAGGACCAAGCAGGTCTTTGGGTGAAAAAGATCAGGAGACATGACCTGGCTCCATCCCGCAGGGTCAGGGTGGTGTCCCCTCTGAGATGATAGATCAGATCCATGGACAGGAAGCAGGCATTCTTTCCTGGATGTCAAATCAGAATAGCCAAAGGGAACAATTAGTTCTCAGATAGCAGGGAAGAGGTGAAGGGGGAGAGAGAAGGGGGCAAAATAATGGAATCATGAAGGATCTGGAACAGAGAGAGGCCATCTGTTCTCTCTCCAGGCAGACTTACAGACTCCTTCAACCAACTTATCCCACAGAAGCTTACGGAGAATCTACTATGTGCCAGCATGGTGCTAAGTCCTAGGACACAGTGATGAGTGCCCTTGAGAAGCTGGTCACTTGTATTATAAAGACCTCAGGTTCTAGGGAGCAAAACCCAGGTTACACCTTATCTTTTTCATGTAACACTATGCTCAACAGGAATTCAGTGGGTGTGTTGATTAAATGAATATAGGAATGGGTGGCTAGGAGGGTCTCTTCTGATGAGCTCACAACCTGGTCCTTGAAGTTTAGGGCCAGTTGGGCAGGGATGGTTTAATATTGAGAAATCTACAGATAGACGTCAAACAAAGAAAGCCATACGATTAAGGCATCATGGAAATTTGCTAACAGAGTAAATCTTAAGAGTTCTCATCACGAGGGAAGAAACAACTTTCTAGCAATAGATGGTCACAGATGTTAACTAGACGTATTGTGGTGATCATTTCACAACATATCCAAGTATCGAATCATTATGTTATACGTCTGAAACGAATGTAATGTTATATGTCAATTATATCTCAATTTTAAAAGACATCACAACAGATCACAACAGAAATGAGAAAAAAGATCTTGAGGAAACTCAACAACTGCTTCTGATAAAATTCCCAGTAAAACAAACTGAAGGATGTTTCATTCACATCATAAAGACTAGTCAACCACTAGCATCCTGTTTATGGTGAACTATCAAAGGCTTTCTCATTCAAGTTAAGTAAAAGAAGGATGCCTGCTCTTCCCACCACTACTTAATGCTGTTCTAGGCATCCCAGCCAACACATTAGGACAAGAAAAAGAAATGAGACAAACTGTGGAAAGATGGACACAAAATAGCTGTTTATCAATGATCTGTCTGGTCATTAAGAAAGCAAGAGAATCAACTAACATTGTCAGAATACAAGATTTCAACTAAGTGGTTAAATTAATATATAAAAATTAGTAACCAGATGGAAAATATAACAAGAAAATAGAGTTTTTTTAATTGAAGTACAGTCAATTACAATCTGTCGATTTCTGGTGTGCAGCACAATGTCCCAGTCATGCACAGACATACATATATTTGTTTCCATATTTTTTGAGAAAAGTCTTTATAGCATGAAGCTTACATTAAAAACAATGAATAAACTTATGAATTGAACAAAATCTGGATCAAGACAGCTACAAAACAAAAAAGAGGACTAAGCTGAACAGAAAGGATAACATGAGAAAAAATCTATTTTTCCCAAATTGACCTAGAAATTAACAAAATCATAATCGAAATGATTTCAAGAATCAGTAAGCAAAGTGACATCATATCATTTTTAATGTGGCACAAAGTGACATTAATAATGTAGTATTGACACAGAAATAGGCAAACAGGTCAGTGAAACAAAATGGAAAGTCCAGAAACAGGGTGAGCATGTGTGTGCATGCGCGCGCAGCGGTGAAGGTTAAAAATAAAGGCCATCATAAATCAACAGTGAGAAGCTGACCCAACCCAATTACACCAGAAGGGGCAGCCATGGGCATTTAGAGTCCCCAGAGACGACCTGGCAAGTGGGCAAAGGGCACAGCGGTGGGACTGATCACAGGCAGCCCAGCCTGTAAGTGGACCTGCCTCGGACACGCCTCCAGAAACCATCTGGATCAGCGGTCAGTCAACTTTCAGATACAGTGCGAGCTACATACCTAACTTTCAATAAGTAGTCACCTTAAAAAAAAAAAAAAGAAACAGGTAAAAATAAATGTAATGATGTATTTTTTGAATCCACTACATCCAAAGTCTTATCATCTCAACATGTGGTCAATACAAAAAGTTATTCAAGATATATTTTACATTCTTTTTTTCATACTCAGTCTTTGAAATCTGTTGTGTATTTCACACTCACAGCACATCTCAATTTGGACACTAAATTTTCACCAACAATACTTGATCAACTCCCTAAAATTTGTAGTTGAAAAAGGAGATTCACATGCCCAAGTTGTTCCAAAAATACTTAGAAGTTTTCCAATAAATGAACCAAGTATCAGTTTTTAAACTTTAATTCCAATTAAGTAAAATTAAGAGTTCACTTCCTGAGTCCCACTAGCCACCATTCAAGGGCTCTGCGGGCAACCTTACGTGGCCAGTCAGTAGTGCATTGGACAGCTTAGGTCCAGAACCTTCTGCTGCAACTCAAAACTCCAGGGTCTCACACCCGCTCATCTTCTATCAAAATGAAAAACGATCTTCCCTACTGAGAAGGCAGGCATCCACCACCACCCCAAACCTCAGCTGCAGTTTTACAATTCTACAGAGCAATGAACCATGGACAACTACACCCAGCAACATGAGTGAATCACAAAGCTAACACTGAACAAAGGGGTCTAGAGCAGGTCCACCAGCATCTTCATAGAAGTAATCAGAGTCCTCGAGTTATTTAAATACTACTTCAGAATGCTAAGTGGAAACCATAACTGTACGGGAAAATGATTGCCAAGGCTAATTAAGCGATCAGTTGTCTCACTGGTGGTCAGAATTAGATCAAGCCGGTAGAAAAACACTGGTAAGGCAGTAATCAAAAGCTGAGGTTGACAGTTACGGCTCTGGTTAACTTAAAATGGGTAACGAAATAATTATCACCTATAAATGCAATCGGGTTGCAAGAGGTGGCCTTCCAAACATAGGTTTAGTTTGGTTTATTTGCTCATCTCAGTGGGAAGAGTTGTTGGTGATCAAAGGGGTCCTGGATGATGGGGACCACTGACCTATGCAAGCCATCTGGTCCCACAAGGTCCAAACAACCTACCAAAGGGCTTCTACACAGTTTCCAACTGGGAGACAGGGCAAGGAGCTGAAATGTTATTATTAAACCCATGGGCACCTGACTCATTGTCAACTATCAGGAGACCATCATATTAAACAAATGCATTCCCACTGGGGAGCAA